CACCCTTTAAACAAACCTTGTAACATTAGCTAAAAGTCCAATGCCCATAAAGAATGACTAAATGATTAGTAATCGTTTATAAACATTTACAAATGATGAATAGTTTCAACTTTAGATTGGCTACTTTTAATGATTAGTAAACATTTATAAACATTTGCAAATGATGAACAGTTTCCACTTTAGATTGGGTACTACAAAAACATGAATAAATGATTAATAGATTATTTGTTAAGATGTGTAAATAGAGGTCTACACAACAAACAAAGACCAATGAATGAAGATCATATGAACTGAAAGTTTACTGACATTTGTTAGCATTTCAATTTACATTTAATAATGTGTGACCCTGGACCACAAAACCAGTCTTAAAGGTGGGGTAAGCGATTTTTCAAAAACGCTTTAGGGTGCTTTCACACCTGTAGATCGATTGCTTTGTTCCGAAACAGGGATTAAAATTATTACAATGTTGCTTTTTATTCTTGGTGCGGTTCACTTTCATATGGCAATGTTTCTTGAGCACGATTGCCGTGTTCAAATATGCCCAAACGAGCTGAGCTAATGGGGGAAACGCACCAGGTTCTGAAACAACGGGCCAGGTGTGAAAGCACCCTTAGAAAGCTGATTTGGGCCGACTAGCAAAACAAACTTGTAACCAATCAGCAATAAGGGGCGTGTCTACAAGCATTATATAATGTTTGTTAATGATTTATAAATGAAAGTTATTATAAAGTGTTACCAGTAAGTTTCTGAAATTTGGTTGGTTTGACACGGAATGACCCAGCAGCCATTACCTATAATAACATTGCTAATTACTGACTGCACACATGCTCTCAGTGAACTTTTCAACCAGACAGCTTCCAGGCAGCACTTGAAAGATAAAGGCCATGCTCTAAATAGACTGTACAGTAGGTGACATTGATTCACTCCAGAATTAGACATCATATCACTGAAATAACAACTTCAGTACTTGGATGCCTCATTTGTTTAGGCCTTACTTTATAAATAATTGTTTCCGTCATGATCTTTAAACACATTATAAAAAATGATAATGAATAATGAAACAAAAAATCTAACCCGGTGTGTTTCAGTTGTTTATGCTATATTATTACAGACACTTTAATTTGACATTAAAATGTCTCCTTCTGTCACTTACATCTGCTAACATGCAGGAGCAACTGCAACACTACGACTTCAGCAAGTTCACTTCTTTGAAGGTGAAGTTGATTGAATCTGTGGACAGAATGTTGTCCACCAAGATCTCAAGTCTGATGAACATGATACGAGAGGAAGAAAGCAAACAGCCTCCTCTGATGGTAATGGGTGGAGCCTTTGAGGACTCGTCCGACGGGCCTTTTGGCCACGGTTATGGTGAGGGTATCAGTGCAGGGGCTGATACTGAGGACTGGATCGTGAGTCGCGACAAACATCGCTACGACGAAATCTTCTACACACTGATGCCTATCAATGGGAAGGTAACTGGCATCAATGCCAAGAAGGAGATGATGAATTCTCGTCTGCCCAACACTGTACTGGGAAAGATCTGGAAGCTGGCAGACTGTGATAAGGACGGCATGCTGGATGATGAAGAATTTGCTCTGGCTCAGCATCTTATTAAAGTCAAATTAGAGGGATTTGAGCTTCCTACAGAGCTACCAAATCACCTAGTGCCTCCATCGCACAGGAAGAACCCCACTGCAGACATCATGTACAACCACCAGGAGGATTGATCATCTTCAAATCTGCATATTTATCAGCCAGCTGCTAGCACAAAGTGGCCTTTGAATACTGAAGTCTTACTTCATTGAAAGGGATGAAGCTTTATTGGTTAAGCCATCTTTCATCAACAGACATGTGTGACTTTCACATGCCCAAGATTAAGTATGTTTGAATATACGTGCACTCAGTGTTAAAGAACAACATATTCATATTTTTGAAAGACATGCATATTAAAATTACAGTCCATGTAATTGATTACTTCTAAATTTTTTCCCTGACCTTGTGTTATTTCGACATGTGCTTGCAGACTGTAAAAATGGATGGCAGTGCAGTTCATTATGCAGTGCTTTCAATGTTATATTACATTTCATAATAAATAACAATTTCAGTTAAGTATGCATAACAGCAGCCAAAAATAATACACACAGAAGCATTCATTCATTTCACTCATTCTGACAGTGTGAATATCGATTAAATTAATTTTGAAACATTTCCATGAATGTACACTTTTCATATGAACTGCATCATAATGCTGAAATAGACTATTTGTGAGCATTTTTAATGTGGGCAAAATTGAGAGTAATTCAGTGTTTCATGATGCAATTAAAATTATGTTCAATACTACATACAAAAAATACTACATACACTTTTCTTACACTGGGTGTTACTTTTTTTTTGGGATCGAATTATGTGACATTGATTAAATGTACAAATTAATAACAGCATTACACTGAACAGCACTGAGTTTTGCCAACGTTTTTTGTTGTGTATACTATTTCTGTCTTACACTGACTAGGTTGTGAAGAGTTATAGTAGTTTATAGCGGCAAGCATTTAGAAATGTGAAACATCTACATTTAAAAAAAATAATCCTGCAAAAACATTCTACAATTTCAGTATTCATGAGTGTTCCAGTACCACTCTTCTTCCTTACTTTTTTTGAGATTGTCAGCCTGGAGAGATTGTCATCCAACTCTATTCTCTGCCTTCTAATTTAAAATAAAATTTTATGTATATATATATATTGTAACGGGGTGGAAGGAACACGCGACAAGGAGAGCTCAAATAAATACCCCGGAGGGTGGATTTATTCACAGAGAAAGTGCTCAAGTGAGTGCGCTGGGTCCTGAGGTGAGTCGAGGCTTCTCCGTGCGTGAGTCGGTGCTTCTCCGTGAGCGTGTTCCAGTGTCGGTGAGTCCGTGCGGCGCTCGTGTGTGGGCTGCTTGGTCACGGGCTGGTTTCTGGAATGTAAAGGAGACAACACGTTAGACTTCAGCTTCTGGGAGAGCATCTCTTCTCCCTTTCCTCGGGCCTCACGCGGCTTATCTGGCCGTGGGCTGATGACTCTCAGCTGTGACCAATCAGCCCGTGATGAGCGTGTGCAGGTGTTCCTCGTCCGTTTCCAGGGCAACGCTGATGTGAGCTCGGGACGCTTGTCACAATATATATATATATATATTAAAGATTTGACATAAACAATTAATAATGTTATATACAATGACAGTAAGAAACAACATTGAATTAAACAGTGTTTATATTTCTGAGGTGTAAAAGAACTTCTATTGAATGATGAAATCAGCTGTCATTATGAAACTCCTTTATGCCGAGTATACACTAAGACGTAATTACTACTGTAGACTATCACTACAGATGAATGTAATTATGTATGTTAAACACTGTCACTATAACCATATGCACATTTTAATATACAGAGATTGTTTTGGTCAGCTCAGAGGTGGATTACATGAACTAGACTGTAACTATTTGACATGAGGCCTTCTCTTAAGGTTTTTAAACATGAAAAATCATTGTGTTTATGTGCAGGTAAAGTTAAGATTACTGTAAAATGTTATTAAAGCCATTCTGTTCAAGTTTCCCAGACACTTAAGTACATTTATATAGGTGTTTAATGGTGCTTCCTATACTTTAATGAGCCTCTGACGTATATACAACCGTCAACCATCTGTTAATATGTAATTTGCAAATTTTATATTTTAAATGAAATAAGGGAATGTAATGAATGTTTCTATTTCAAATTAAAATTAATTGTTTCTCCAAGACTTTATTTTGAAATTCGTAATCAATAGAAACTTGAACATGCACTAAATCTTTTTTGAATAACTGTAATTTCAGTTGTTTCAACCCCAAATCAATTAGCATTCAACTGGCATGGCTGTTCCTGGATGGGCCTGTAGAGAGGTGTGTGCTGCTGAATTGCATAAAATACTGAATATGACTGCAACCTTTACCCCTCATGTAGCACACGGTCAGGTGAGTGAGAATTACCCTCCCTTTCAGTCCATTACAACAGCGTCAAAGTTCAGTTCAGTTCCTCAACACTGATCAGTCTTAAAGAGGATTTATCGGATTACGCTCAAATCATGAATTTATGCCTATGATGAAAGTCTATGATTAGCACTGACTGTGCCTAAGTGCTGAAAACAAACCTTGAGAAGGGTAAGTGAATTCGAAATCTCTTGCATTCTGCGCATCACAATCTGACAAACAAATGTAATACTTTTTGCAAGTGTTTCAAATAATTGTAGGATATACAAATGGCAACATTTAAGAAACAAAAAAATACAGATTATGCAAAAATGAAATGAAGTTTGTCTACAGAGATGTGTAATATTACAGTTTAATTGTTCATATTTGTTTTAAACTAGATTAAACAAATGTCCATTTCACCGAATTATAAATATGGATATAAAATAATATTTTGTCGATATATATATATATATATATATATATATATATAATAGCACCATAGCATTAAGATGCTACTAAGATGATGTTCTACAGTATAATATCTGAAAAGTATTAAGACATGAAAAGTTGGCCAGTTTACTAAGTAATCTGTAATCCTTGATCCCGACATTCAATTTATCACCTGATTTGGAAATGCTAGTTATTTTTATGATCCTTCTAAAGATGTCTGTAAAGTCAGATTTGAAGTACATAATTACACTGTCAGCAGGAGAGGCATGATTGCCCTGATGCTTTCACTTCCTCAAACATAAGAGAACAAAGTTGATTTATAAACTTGAGTCATATTTAACTTTCACAATGACATTTCCTTGGTACTATCCTCTTTTATTTTAACTTCCCGAAAGAGCTCAAAAATCGAAACGTAAAGGCCTCACCAATCATGTGTATGGCTTAATTTTTAAACTCATTGTGGGCAGCTATTGTAAATGAACAATCTGTGGGGTCTGGTTTTTGTATCTTTGAAAGAGTTACATGCATTTTTCATATGTTGTTTTCAGGGACTAACACAGTCAGGAGATGTTTAAACAGGGAGATGGAGAGGAGTCGGATGGCCGATTCCGAGAGCTTCAGGAACAGCGGATGACGGTGCAGAAGAAGACCTACACAAAATGGATGAACAGTGTCTTCTCAAAGAATGGGGTACGAATAAGTCCATCCAAAGCCTTCCTGAACCTCAATGCTAGTTCAGGCAACAAGATCTACAATCAGAGACACAACTAAGCACCAACACTTAAACTAACGCTTACATTTCAAATGTGTCATGATCAACCCTTTTGCTATGGCTAGAATCTTGCTATGGCTATCTTTCTGTCTATATATATATATAAATAATCCACTTCGTTTAATCAGTGATATCTGCTGGCGGCACAGCAATTTGATTAAACAAAAATTCATGATTCACAAGATATCACGATAACTTTGGTGATATCTAGTGTAATATAATGTTAGTGATCCTGACTCCAGTCTTGTGACTTACTTTAGTTTACGATATGCTCACTCCAGCATGATTACCTCTAGTTGTGAACCCCTGAACCCAGTTAAGAATCCACTTCGTTTAATCAGTGATATCTGCTGGCGGCACAGCAATTTGATTACACAAAAATTCATGATTCACAAGATATCACGATAACTTTGGTGATATCTAGTGTAATATAATGTTAGTGATCCTGACTCCAGTCTTGTGACTTACTTTAGTTTACGATATGCTCACTCCAGCATGATTACCTCTAGTTGTGAACCCTTGAACCCAGTTAAGGTCATAATTATTTTATCATTGTCCATTACATTACCATCTACATACTTTATGTACTTGTCTCACGATAAGTGCACAGTTCGTTTAGTTGCTTATTTAAACAAGTTAGCCCACTGTTTTCTATATATACACTCTGAGATTGAATTCAGTAATAATGATGAGAGAAAGTGGCAGGTAGACATAAAGGAAAACTCAATAGTTAATTTTTATACACTGTTATGCAAACCTTTGGTTTTGACAGATCAGCACAGGGGAGGGAAAAACAAAGATGATTTACATTGTATTACATCAACATCACCGATATTAGATTTAGGAAGGAAATAGTACCACCTTGACTGTCATTGCATAATATTTTTATACCTGATTTTTCCACTATATTTGTCTCCCTTTGAGTGTTATATTTAACAGTGGTTACATATTACCTCCTCTCGTACTTACTGCCATTGTTGTGTGAACCAACTGAGAGACTTAACTTACATAAAACACTAACAGCAGGAAGATGTTAAAACAGACAAGTGGTACAACAACCTTCCTCGGCTTGTTAGGGCACACAAATATATTAATAGCTGTATACAGGCAGCTGTCTGAAAGAATGAGATGTGTTTTAAACATTCCCCTTTCCTTTTCCCCTTCCTCAGTTGCTCCTGTGTATTGTTCTGTATCAAACAACACCGTTCATAACATGTTTATTATAAAAGGTCACACTTATCATTAAAAACCTAAATATTGCTTTCTGAGAAAATCTATTGCACTCTTGTACTAGCTGGTTATTAGTTGCATGCAAGTTAGCAGTTAGCTAAAGACCATCGTTTTTAAAAGCAATTATGAAAGCTGCAAAAAGGTTTGCAGTAATTGCAAGCAGATTTTATTGTTTTATCATTGCTCTTGAGTGATGAACTTCGTCTCTGTAGACCCACCAGAGAAGCAGGGTGTGCTCTAAGCTCCCTCGATTCATTCCCTGGGTAAGCAGAGCCTATTGGAGGCAGTAAGCAGATCTGTTGAGAGACATCAGATTCCCACAACACATGGATTAGGGAGTGGTTGCAAGTCTCTTGCTTGAAAGCTGAGAGCAGGACTGCTTTACTGAGAGGAGTGTGAGTGAGTCACGTCATAGTGGAATACAGTGGCAATTAGCCAAACACAATGGTAAAATAAAGCCAGCTGCTGAATTCATGCCTAAACTTGTTTAAAACTGCCTATGATGCATAAAACAAATGCAGTTATAGGACATAAGAACATGTATGTCACTACCTGCAACATGCTTGTTAGCCGATGTCTTCCCACTTTATGATTACTTGATTGTAGAAACTGGATGTATTGGAAATGTGTGTAATTTTATTTTAATGTGCATTCACTTTAAAGGAAAAGGTTGACTTGACTGATGTATATACTGAACTAAGAACTGGTGTGCCACTCGTGCGACTTCTGGAGCTCATCTCCGGGGAGAAACTGCCCACTCCCAGTCGACGCACCCTAAGAGTTCACTGTCTGGAAAATAACAGCATTGCCATTCATTTCCTTAAAACCAAGGTACACTGGAAGAAATACAATGTGCAAAACTCTGAAAAGTACCTTTTAAAAAGTATTATTTCCACAATGTAACGTCTTAAATTGTGGAATAATTGAAAAATTGAATAATTGTAGGACTCTGCTCATCTTCCTATAGATTAAAGTAGATCTGATTGGTCCAGAAAATATTGTGGATGGAGACAGAACTCTGATCCTGGGCTTAATTTGGATCATCATTCTCCGCTTCCAGATTGGAGCCATCAATATTGTTGAGGTAAGGCCTTAAGAGTGGCCTCTATAAACGTTCTAAAAAGCAAAAAGTGTACTTATCACTCTGTTCACATCCTATTTTGGTTTCAGGCTAGTGGTGACGCCAGTGGTGCTCAGCGCTCTGCCAAAGAAGCTCTACTGATATGGTGTCAGCGTAAGACCGCCGGTTATGCCAATGTAAATGTGCAAGACTTCTCAAGTAGCTGGAGAGATGGACTGGCCTTTAATGCTCTTATTCATGCCCATCGGTAGTATTTTCAGTGGATAGCATTCTCTTTTGATAAGGAACAGAATTTGACTATGTTCCCTTTGCACTACTTCAGTCTCATGATGTTATGATAACATTGTTCCAGGCCTGATCTTTTTGACTACAACCGACTACGCCAGGATGATCCAATGAGGAACCTCACCCATGCTTTCACTCTGGCAGAGGATGAGTTTGGTATAATGCAACTCCTGGATGTGGAAGATGTCATGGTGCCCCATCCCGATGAGAAGTCTATCATGACTTATGTCTCCCTGTACTACCACTACTTCTCCAAAATGAAGCAGGGTCAGACTATCCAGAAGAGGATAGCTAAGGTTAGTTTAATTTAAGGTAACATGTAATTTTAAGTAATGTAAAATGCAATGGGAAGCTTTTCTTCCATATTGTGGTGTATATCCAAGTGAACCAGATTATTGTAAAGAAAAAAAGTGTAGAACGAGGGCATCAGTAGTTGATTGGATGGAGGCAGATCCGAATGGAAACTTGCAGTCAGATGTAAGAAAGGGGCGGGGTTTGTAACATCAGAACACACCAGAGAGATGTCTCAGTTCAGCATGTTTGGATGAATTGTTCTCCATAAGATCAGTAACATGCATTTAGAAAATAGATATGGTGAATTTTCATTTTTTCAGACATTAAGGAATAACCCTGAATATTAAACTTCAGCACCTTATTACAAATAATGTAGGACAATATAAACATGAATGATACCTCAAATAGGGGGTCCACTGTTGGTGCTGAAACCACGCCCACTCACGGGAAAGCTGTCTAGTGTCACACCAGCCACACCATGCTTCTCTCAACTGTCAAATACCACTACAACCTGAATAGATGTTCCCTCTAGCAGCTTTAATGGATTTACACAGCCGAACATGTTACATGACAAAGGCATAGCTAGCTTGCAAACTGTAGACTGTAGTAACACGGTAATGACAGTAACTCTCGATTGACCAGGTGAACCACTGATGCTAATACACTCTAGTTATTAGGCTTGTTCGAGATGCGTATGACATAAAAATACCGCGAGAGCGATTCAAAAGCATAAAGAGTCATTTGCTCTCCAATCGATCTCGTGGTACTTTGATGTCATACGCCGATCGGTCTGCACAGCGCTGATGCATCTCGAACAAGTCTATTATAGTGTTAGGGGAGGGCCCATGCTCAGTGGCTCCATTGCGTCATCGAGACCTTATTTTAGGCCCGCCCAAAAAATACTGAACACAAAAATGGTGAAAAACTGTTTAATGGTCTAACTCCAGAATTCAGTACTACATAGTACACAGTCTTTATAACGTGTTTTCAACAATACATTTCTAATATTTATAATGTGTTTATAAACAATTCTCTGAATTGCCTTTACACAGACGTTAACTAAGTAGTAGTAGCAGTAAAACTATAAACTGCACTAATGCCACTGCCAAAATAGTTATTAGTGATATAAGATGTATTTCCTTGGGTGTCTTTTTCTAGACTGGGCTTGGAGTAGATGTGATTATTATAACAAAAGATATACACTCTTTGATTTGGTCAACTGAGACAATGCAATGTCACATGAGCATGTCCTTACAGCGTTTTCGGGAAATGTTAAGCACTGGCACACTCTGTTTGTGAAAGTATGAACTGCAGCTACTGTGGTGTTGAATCAGGACTCTAATCTCAAACTCTTTAGGATTAGTGGATTTGACTGGGTCAAAAGGAGGAGCCCTGGTCTTAATCAGATCAGTGTAAACTCTAGGCTGTAAATGCTGCTAAACAAGAAAGTTAGTTGTCTGCACTGCGTAGTCAAGAAACAGCTTTTCGGATAATGCTGACAATATGGAGGAAGACGTCCTCAGATACTCTTTGACAACAGGAGGAGTTGATCCAGCAAAGATGAGCTCAGAGGTCAGGCGATGCCATTAACATGTTGGCAGGATACACATGGAGAGAAACGGGGGCGTGAAGTGTCCTGTTCTGCCTGTGCAGTATGACACTTTCACTCACCACCATGTCTACAAGTGTGAATAGAAATAGCGGTATGTGTTGACTGGGTCACAGCTGTGGAGTAGTGTTAGCTGTCACAAAAGTGTATTAAACAATGACAGAGAGATCTTGTTGGATAGATGGATGGATGGAACTGAGATAAGCCCAGCCAGGCTCTGAGATGTCAAGACTCTAAATTTCATTTTATGGTAAGACCGCCAGCTCTCAGGTGTGACGCTGTTGGGACACTAGATGACAATGACTTTCAGTGGCTATTTCAGCAGTCAGTGGCTGCGATGGCAGAACATGAGACAAACAATTATTGAGCAGGAGAGGAGTCTTCCAGAAGTGGGAAAGGTGTGTATTAAGTAGATAGATGTCAGTATAGCTGCTGAACAAAAACATGCTCCCAAATCACCCGTCCTTCGAAGAAATAGAACTTGTGATCAAAATATAGTCTATTTCTGTTATTATTTACTTTTTATTGTACTTAATTATCTTTTTTTAAATCATGATGTTGCTTAATGTTTAGTACTGACCTGCTGTTAGATAAAATCTGTGCTTTTGAATTTGAACATTGGTGTTTTCTAAAATATATAGTTTATCTCTGCCTGCAGATTGTGGATCTTCTGAAAGAGCTGGATGATATGAAGCGCATATATGAGAGCATGGTGTCTGACTTGCTACGCTGGATCAAGACCAAGGTGATGGAGCTCAATGACCATTCTTTCCCCAACTCCCTGCGAGAAATGCAGCATCTGGTTTCTGCCTTCAAGACATATCGCACTATTGAGAAGCCTCCCAAATACCAGGAACGAGGGGCCATCGAGGCCCATCTCTTCAACTTGCGAACCAAGCTAAGAGCAAACAACCAGTGGGATTATATTCCTCCGGAAGGCAAGACCTTGGGGGATATCGAAAGGAACTGGACCTTTCTAGAACGAGCAGAACACCAGCGAGAGAGGGCCCTCCAGAGTGCGCTGATGAGGCTGGAGCAACTAGAACAGCTGGCCCAGAAGTTTGACCGTAAGGCTACGCTGAGGGAGAGCTACCTGGAGGACACTCTGCATCTGATCCAACAACAAGACCTGGGAGGGCTGCAGAGACTGGAGGAGGCTGAGACAGCGGCTCGCAAACTGGAGGCCCTGGGAGCAGATGTGCTGGCTCGTGAACCGCGTTTCCGCGCTTTAAGTAAAATGGCTGCTGTTATTGAAAAACAGAACTACCACAGCAAGGCACAAGTGATTCGCAGGTGAGGGGGCAAAGAATAGCAGGTAGTTCATAATCACTTATGGATATGGGTTATGACTGTTTGTAATGTCCTATTATAATGCAGTGGAAAAGACATGTCAAAAATAAGTTTCTAGTAAAACATTTCCACTAATGCTGGCACTATAAAATATAATTTCCTGTTTGTTGATCCGTGGGAATGTGGAAGTTGAAAATTACATTACTAAAGTAAAAACCATTTTATAGGTGTGGAAGCATTTAATAGACATTAATAGTAGATAATATGTGCTTATTATCTTATTAATGTTTCATTACTATCTTGTACGCGACAGGAACATGGATATCATGAACCGATGGAAAGCTTTGCAGCAGCGTCTGCAGCAGCAGAGAGAACATGCTGGTGATGCTGTGAATACATTTGCTGTTCTCAGAGATATTGAGTTAATATCTCTGGACCTAAGGGAATTAAAGGTGAACAACTCAAATTTCCTATATATATAATTTTTACTCCAGACATTACCACTGAGCATTATCACTTGAGCATAACCTTTCTTTCCTAGGCCCAGGCAGATTACTCCGATTTAGGAAAACAGCTGCCAGACGTGGTAGCCCTACTGCAAAAGCAGGACTTACTAGACAGTCAAATCATCTCACTTGGAGAAACCCTGAATGCCATGAGCAGCAGTGCCTTAAAGGTTAAACACAAAGGTGCCACAAAAGTCGAGAGAGGAGTTAAAGATCTTAACGGCCAGTACAACTCTTTGCTGGTTCTCAGCAAGAACAGGTAAACTCTTTAAATCCTTCTAATTGTACCAGAAGCCATTTTATTTGTGGACATTTGTAAGACTTTTGTAAGATTCTAAAATGAGTACAAAATGGAAAAAGAAATCTTGTGTGCAAGTACCATATACTTAAAGACCCTTACAGTATTTAGACTTACAGCAGCTAAACTGTGTTTTAAAAGTTAACCATAAGAAATAAAGACAGGATTGTATAAAGCACAGTTTTACTGTTTTATAAAAAATAAAATACTGTGGACATATACTGTACAGCAATAACATGATCTTTTTTTGTGGAAAAAAAAGGAGAAAAGCTCTGGAGGGACAGCTGAAGCTCTTTGAATTTTTCAATGATTGTGAAGAAGTAGAAGCATGGATCTATGAGAAATGGGTCCTCTTACAGGCAGCATCTCTGGGGAGAGACCTCATTCAAATTCAGCAAGCAATTCAGAACCACAAGGTATGTGGCCATCAGATACTATAGGATACAAAATTGTAGTATTGAAGAAACCCATTACTGCCTACATTTTAGATATATGTCAAACAGTTATGTGCTTATTGATACTCTTATAGACTACTGCTTGCTCTTTTAAGCACTTCTATAAGGGAGAACAGACTAACGTTGCTTAACCTCAATGTGACTGGATCAGAGCTGCTAAGATTAACAAAAATTGCTATGTATGTTGCAGGCTTTAGAGGCAGAGATTCAGTCACAGGAATCACTGTGCTCTGGGGTTTTATCCAGAGGCCAAGAGCTGTGCAGGGGCAGACACTCCAATGAGAGAGACATCCAAAAGTGGATTCAGACTCTTCAGAAACAATGGCAGCAGCTTAAAGAGCAAGTCACCATCAGAAAAAACAGGCTGCATGCAGCCAATGTCATCAAGCAGGTATAAATCAAACTTAGCTATGTATAGGTTCCTCATGAGTGGAAAGTGAGAAATTATGATTCAGTAGATCAAGTAGAGATTGGCATAAAATGTGTTCTAAATGCCATTCCTCCTTTCCCTCAGTATTTTGCAGACGTTACCGAAGCCAGCTCGTGGCTTGATGACCGCAAACCACTTCTCATTGATGAGGATTATGGAAAGGATGAGGCCAGCACTACTGCTCTGCTCCAGCGTCACCAAAGACTGGAGAAAGAAATGGAAGCATATGCCTCAGAAGTTAAACGGCTGGGCGAGCAGGCCAAGAGTGCTGCCCAACTTGCTCCTCTTACTGTGAGTCACAACCAAAATAACCTATTATGTACAAAAGAAAAAATATTTTACTATGCAATTACAGCACATAGTTTGTCTGAATAATTTTCCAATATTGCTATAGGAAGGGTAATGGTGAAAAACAGTATATCCATGAAATAAATGTGAATCATTGCTAGTATAAAACTGAAATTACTGTATAATTTTATGGATACAGCTTCAAAGGCACTGACACATTTTTTAACCAATTTAAGACTGAAACCCAGCAGAGTAGAATGGTCCACTACAGTGATTCATCAGATGGTGAAGATGAGATGGATAAAAAAGCTGACAAAGGAGGAAAAGTCCTCAGCAAGGCTTTACCACAAGAACAAGCAATGATTAGGTTCAGATACAGAGGTATACAGCATCCTTTAGTGCTAAAAAAAAAAAAGATAAATGCTACTGGTCTGGTTTGTGTGTACAAGGAACCAGTTCCTCTTTCTCTTCTCATCTTGACCATTTTTTCAGGTCCTATATTAACCTGGGAAAGAGGAGAAATATTGACAATTGTCAGCAGGGCAAATGATGACAAGTTTCTTCTTCGAGACAGCAGAGGAAATGAGCAACTAGCATCTTCCACATTCATCAGGGAGATGCCGTCTTCTGTAAGACGATTTTAAAATCTACTTGAGTTTCAAATCTTTTGAGCCATAAAAATTCTTTAAATTGCATCTACTAGACAGCTTTTGCTTGTGTTTTTATGCAATTAAATGCAGAAAGCACCACCTGAACCTACAAATGGAGAACCTGAGAGTCCAAAAAAGAAAGTGAGCCAACCTCGCCGCACTCGTTCTATGCGGCGTGGCACAGCTGAAATATCTACCTCATCATTGCCTGACCCACACTTCCAAAAAGACACAATAGAGAGCACACAAAGCAGTCTGGAACAGGATTTCAACAGCCTTTATAATTTAGCACAGGTGAATATTCACACTTTGCCTTTACTCTTTACCATTTTAGATGGTTTAAAACATTTTCCAGGCATTTAAATAGCATTTTCTCCCACCAGTCAAAAAATAAGGTACTGGATGACACTGCACGACTTCATAGGTTCTATAATGCCTGTGAGGAGTTTGAGTCCTGGATGAGAGACAAGGAGAATGTCCTCAACACTTTTAACTCCAACTCCAACGACTTAGAGGTTGTACAAGCCAAATATGAGGTCAGTTCACTCTGAAAACACACGCCGAGCAGAATAACACAAGTCAACATGAATCCTTTACAACATTCAAAGCCTTAAAGCTATTAAGCAATAAAGCTATAAAGGTATTTTGATTTATAAACATTCACTTCTTTCTCAATGTTATACACAGAACTTTCTCACCGAACTAGCCAGTGGTAGAAAGCAGCTCGATGACATTACCAAGCTTGGAGAGGAGCTTGTGAAAAAACAGCTCAGTCAGAAAAAAGAGATTCAGCTTAGGCTTGGAATCATAACCCGCAGGTATGAAGGCTAAAATCAGCATTGTGCAGCCATCCAACCATGCTATTGTGTACTTAAAGTGTTTCTTTGTATGACCAGATGGGAACACATTCAGAAACTAAAGGATGAGATGGCTCATGAGCTGCTTAGCTCTGCTGATGTGAAATCGTTCCTGCAGACTTGCCAAGACGTCCAGGCTCAGCTCCAGGATAGGCTAGTCCAGCTTGACACACCTGATGTGGGGAGCTCACCATCAGCCCTGCAGGCTGAGGAACACAGACAAGCCCAAGCTGAGAGGGACATAGAAGCCCTGGAAAGGAAAATAGAATACCTTAAAAGTGTGGCCAAGATGTAGGTTTTGCTACAGAATTATTGCAGTACCACTTATGTTTTTTTTGGCACATCTTATTTCTAACCTTGGCACAGCTCGTAACCATCATCAACAATAACTTACAGGAGAATGTCCAATGTTATGTATAAAGTGGTGAAACCAAATCAATCCTTATTAATCTGTCTGTTAACTGTACATCACATTGCTATGCTACAGGAAACAGGATTGTAGCCCTGCAGAGAGTGCTGCTATCATGGAAGAAGTACGTGCTTTGGAAGACCTGCTGCGGCAGTTGAAAGCCCAAGCCACTCAGAGACAACAGATGCTTGGGGAAGCTCGACGCTTGCAATTCTTTCAGAAAGAGACCAGAGACCTGTTGTTATGGGCCGAGGCAAAAAAGGAGCACCTTCTGGAAGAGGACACTGGATCTGATGTAGCATCTGCTCAAGCCCTGCTGAAGGAGAACCTTGATCTGAAGCAAGAGATTGAACTTCAGAGAGCAAAGTTAGTTGTGTTTGGTGTTATCTTGTAATTCGTATTTAGTGCCTATGATTGACGGTAAGATTATTTCAGATTGAAAGATATGGAGAAGCTGGGTCAATCTCTGGAGGTGGCATCTGGAGAGAAAGGAGCTAAAGATGTTCAGCAGACACTCACTAAGTTGGATAACGAGTGGAGCCAGCTGGACAAACTGTGGTCTAGTCGCAACAGACGGCTTGAGCAAGGACTGGAGTTTCAAAAGCTGAATATGGAAGCAGATCGCATAGAGGCCACCATTTCTGGTCATGAAGCCAGACTGAAAGTCAGAGACTTGGGGGTAAATGAAAGAGATGATACTGTGACATTTAATTTCTTTTATTATTCTAATGTATTCATTAAATTAATTCATTTCATGTCTCTTAAGCACATTTTGTCGAAGGAGATACACATTTGTAAAGATTTAATGCAGAATTTCTGTACAGGACTCTGTGGACAGCGTTCACAGTTTACTGGGCCGACAAGAAGAGCTTGAGGCTTTGCTTGAGGCACTAGAGCGATCCATTAACCTCTTTCAAGACAAGAGCCAGGAGCTCATCAGCAAGCGTAACTTTGCCGCCAAAGAGTGAGTGTAGTCTTTTATTTATCTTTACATATTATAATTAATTTTATTAATAAATAATTATAATTGTTTGTCTCTTAGTGATATTATTTTAGTTCACTCTGGCATTTACCCCTTTCCAGAATTCAACAGCGATCAAAGGTCATTCAAGATCGATACAAGAACCTGAAAGAAAGTTGTAAATTAAGGAGGCTTGATTTACTTGCTTCAAAAAAGTACCAGGTAGACCTTCAGTTTGTTTTGGAAAGTGACAGCATAATTTGTGAATAATGGAAGTTAAAATGTGTTAGTAGCTATATATCAGACAAGAAAATTGTCTAAACAACTACAGTGCTTTAAAATACTTTACTTTCCCTTGCATAGGAATTTTTAAGAGATGCAGAGGAGATGCTGCTGTGGATAGAGGAGAAGTTTGAGATTGCTGAGGACGAATCATACAGAGATCCAACCAACATCCTTCGCAAGCTCAAAAAACACGAGGCGGCAGAAAAAGAGATGCAGGCCAATCAAGTCCGCGTTGACAGACTGACTGAGGTACAGCACCACATCAGATGTATTATTTACTATTTCTCAAGCAACATAAGTACTTTGCCATGATTTTGGTCCATTCTGATTATTGGATTTTATGTGGTTAGACTGGAGAGGAGATCTTAGCAGAGGATCACTTCAACAGCCAGAGCATACAGAGAAAGACTCAAGAGGTACGCAAAAGGTGGACTGAACTCCAGAGGAAGATGGCAGAAAGAGGGGACAAACTACGACAGGCTGGCCAGCAGGAGCAACTCATGGAGCTGCTTCAGGTATTTAAACTCTTACTTCTGACTACTACAGGACTGCAATGAATTTTTTTGATTTATCACTGAAACATTAGCAGAATAAATTCCTTTGACTAGTTTTAGTCCATAATAGGTTTAGTTCCATAATAGGTTTAGTTCTTATGTAAATTTGTATCATTGAATTAAATCATTTGAAATTACCAATTTATACAGAAAAAATAAGTGCGCTCTCATTATTGTATTTTAAAGTATCTGCATATTTTCAGGATGCAAAATTGAAGATTGAGGCAATTGAGAGAATGTTACAGAATGCAATCAGGGGTCATGACCTTCGTTCAAGCAGACAGCTCCTGAAGGAGCACAAGCAGCTGGAGGAGGAGGCTCAAGAACTTGCAGAAAAAATCAACTCCATTGTCACCCGTGCCAAACACCTAGCGACCAACCAGCTCAAGTCAAACGTTAAGCAGGCTGTACGTGTGTGGGGTTTAGAGGAGCTGAACAAGCCCTACAACCACATGAAATCTAAGCTAAATGAGGTTCAGCACTCAGCGAGAGTCAGGTAAAGTAACTATCAATTGATAAAACAGCACAATTAATATAAGTAAACACCCTCATGTTGGTTTGCTGTGTTAAAACAAACATATCTCATTACAACAGAGAGCAGAGGCTGCGAGAGACTTTACATCTACATGAATTTAAGCGCGAGTCTGCTGAACTGGAGGAATGGATTGCTCAGCAGATACAGATTGCTGCCTCTAATGACTTTGGGAGTGATTATGAAAATGCACTGGTGAGACTATCGATCTGTTGCAGACTTGTCAAATGATTTTTCATTGTCCTGTATATTTACCTTCAAATCAATGATTTTTCATTGTCCTGTATATTTACCTTCAAACTACTTTGCACTGTACTTTAATTCGGGGTTGGGGTCAAGAAATGTTGAAAGAAAGAAAAAACAATTTAACGGCAAGGTATTTTATGGTGGTCATAGTTTTAATACAGCTAGGATAATAATTAAATATTTTTAACACAATTTTAAAAACATTTACTAAATTTGATACTAATTTTTCATTTGTTTGGTCAGAAGTCTAGAGACTAATAGCTACACTAAATTCTAATGACAGCCAGAGTCTTAATAGTCAAAATTAATAAACAAATCAGTTTTTGTTTTATTTTAAAAGTTTATACATCTACATAAATTCAATAGTGGGTATAAGAACAATAAGTGAATATTTTCTAGATTATATTTTATGCCTTTTAATATTTTAACTTTTATGGCTTTAGTACAGTGACAAAATAAAAGCCAATTATTACAACCTATTGTCTTCAAACTTATTTCTCATATTTTTTTTACTAATTGTTTTCAAACATACTATTTGACCCTAGAAATTATCATATGTTGGGCTCCTTGGCATCTAATATATGAAACCTTAATTTCCTATTTTAAACACATAAAATTCTTCAAATTTCAATATGATTCATCAAGTTAATCCTGTATCAGATATGCATGTTGTCTGTGATCTGGATCTGTCTAAGTACCTCTTGTTTCATGACAGCAACTGTGTGGGAGATTTGAGGTATTCTTAAAGCAGCTGGAGGTGGGACTGGAGAGGATGCACACCTGTGAAGAGTTGGCTGACAAACTCATCAAAAGTAATCATCCTGAGAGCCGCTTCATCCGAGAAACACAGAATCTACTCAGGTAACGGCATGTGATAGGGTAAACAAAATATTACAAACTAATAAATACAGTAATCTCATATGTGACCCTGGACCACAAAACCAGTCTTAAGTCGCTGGGGTATATTTGTCAAATAAAAATATTTTTTGATTGTGATGTATCAGACCTGTGTAGTGGCATCATTTTACAGTCTACAGATATCATTTGCAGTTCATACTTACATTAAGTCTAATTTATGACAGAAAATCATGGGAAGAGCTGCAGGATTTATCTAAAGATCGTAAAGAAATGCTACGTAAATCTGAAGAATGTCACAAATTCTACAAAGACTTGACTGATGCACTAAGACAGATAAAGGTATCCACTCCAGCTGTGCTTTTAAGTCATGCTGTTAAATAATACGCTAAACATATATGCCCTGGTGCTCACATGTCACATATCTTGTACCAGGAGAGGTACAAAAGCATTCCTGATGACATTGCCAAAGATCTGAGGGGAGTGCTGTCTCAGCTACGGAAACATGAAGCTCTTGTACATGAGCTGGCTGGAACAGAGCAACAGGTATGATGTGAGAGCATTCATTACAGGTGTCTTGCACTGGTGAAATGGCTATTTGAATTTACAGTATACTGACACCTAGTGGGTGGCATGGATGCTTTTGCGCAAAGGGAAAAATGATTAAGTTATTGTTTCTTACTAAAAATAACTATCCACTACCATTTCGACAACTTATTTTTGCATTAGAATTATTATATAAATATATATAGCCCTATATAGGCTATAGTTTTTGAGGAACAGGGACTGTGGTTAAAAATTGGTATCAGTCTCTTTTAATCCGATGTAAAGGGTATGAATAATAAGCGATGACTCGGTTATGTCTCTTTGAGCTCATCTCACTCGGATTTCTGCTTGTAAGTGATGCATTTTTATTTTTTTTGCTGGTTCAGTTTGTCAGTAAGGGTTTGATAGATATTTTCCTCATCTTGTTGCCTATTCCTCTGTCTGTGGCGCTAAGTGCTGGAAAACAATTAACGATTTACCTGACTCGGTGACATCTCTCCATTGTCCAAAATACTGAAATACTATAATTGGCGAATTCTTCGGCACAAAATGATAATTTTCCCCGTATTTGTCCCCACTCCTATATCACTCTGCTCCTCTTTGCGGCTTTCCTTCGCGCCTTGCCCCTTGAACCTTTTCCCGCCCTGTCGTCTGATTGGTCGACAGCATATGAGAGTTTATGTGATTTAGTTATAACTTTAAAAAATTATAAATGGAAGGATTTTTTTAAAATAATTACTTTAAATGTATTTAAAGGATAGCCCCTTGAGATGTAACATCTCATTTTCAAGGGGGTCCTAAAACACAAAAACAAAATATTACAACAACATATACAAAACAACTGTACAAAACATGTACACACACAAATATACAAAACAAAAGACATGCTCAACCAGTCCCCCACACCCACAGCAGGTTTACAAAACAATCAACATCATACATAAGCTTAATCAATATAAGAAAACTTAAAAACATACATAAGTTATTTTAAGATAAGAAAATAGAGATAACCTTAACAAGTAAAGGGTTTAAGAAACAATTAGTGCAGCAAAAAAGTAAATAAATAAATAATTTACAAACTCGTTCTCAGGCTGTTAAAACTTTTTGATTTCTTTTATAGCTGCAAGAGCTGTTGGACGGAACTGACACCATTCTGGACATGTGTTCTCCTGAGCTGAGAGTGGGGTTGCAGGAGCTGCAGCGGGAGGTGGTGGAGAGCTGGGAAAGTCTCCGAATGCACATGGAGCAGAGGGAGGAGGAGCTGCGGTCAGCTAAGGACCACTACATGTTCCTTAACACAGTACGCTACACCCAGTTCATAGTACTTTGACATATGTTAAAGATTTTAAACTCCTTCTTTTGATTTGTTGGAAAATTCCAAAATATTGGTTGAAACTAATTTTTAATACATTTGTATTGCTTTGTTCTCCAGGCACAGGACTACTCCCTCTGGTGCTCGCAGGTGCTGAGTGGGATGAAGGCAGAGGAATCCATCCGAGATGTTGCCACCTGCGATTTGCAGTTGTTTCAGCACCAGCAGCTATGGGCTGAGATTGTGGCACGTGAGGAGACATATGCTCAGGCTGAATCCATGGGCCAGGACCTGCTAGAGCATGACACATCTAATGCTAAAGAGGTGAGAAACTCAAATTTGTCCGATTTAAACTACAATACAAACTGTTTATTAAATTGACATAAATATAAACTCTAAATACATAACAAATACATGTTTAAACATCCTATGTGGCCATCAGATCCAGGAGAAACTCAAAGCTCTGCAAGAAGAGAAGGAGAAGCTTTCTGATAACTGGCAGTCCAAGCAGAAATGGCTGGAGAGCACATATCTGGAGCAGGTGTTTTATAGAGACACTGAGTACATGGAAAAGATCACTAACTCCCAAGAGGTCAGTGCTCCTATAAACTACCAGGAGCTACTTTGATTTACATTTCAACATGTAAGAAATATCTGGTCTGGTGACCGCTTAAATAAATATCCATATAGTATTACATAGTTCACAAGCATTTCAGAATCAAGTTAGTAGTTAGACATTCATAATGTTAAGGCTAGCAACATCTGTTTCTTTGCAGATCCAGTTGAAGAACAGTGATTTGGGAACAACAGTGGATGATGTAGAAACTTTGATCAAACGCCATGAAGCCTTTGAAAAACTTCTTAATTCTCAGGAAGACAAGGTGGGTTGGTCTTCAGCCTACAGTGTGGCCTGAAGCATCAAACACATGACATTTTATAGATGAATGAATATCTTATCATGTCATGTAGATGGTGGCTCTTCAGGAGTCAGCAGAACGCTTAAGGACAGAAGGTTTGAACCAAGAAAAAAGCAGCAACATTAAGAACAAACTGAAAGCTCTCCAGGAGAGAAGGGAACACATCAAAGATCTGTCGGATAAACGCAGAGAGGATCTTGAGATCTCAAAGCTTCTCTGTATTTTCAACCGAGATGTGTCAGAGGTACAGTACTTGTAATTTCCGGTCCAGGTGATCTTAAACAAAGAGAAACAAACAAATTAATTGGTTGGTTTGTGATGTTTATTTGTATTTTAGCAAGAGGAATGGATCACAGACTGTATGAATAAAACACAAGACTCCAAAATAGACATGAGCGATCTTCAGACTAAAATGAAGATATTGCAGAAGCATCAGGTGTTTGAAGCAGAGATTCTGGCCCATGGAAATATCATTGAATCTGTTCAGCAGGTAAGTCGCTGTACCCAAGTCACAAGTTGGCTCAGTAGTCAGTTAGAGATAATCCTATATTTATTTGTTCTTCTTTTGGTCAGTATAAATATATTTAACATAGCTTGTCACATACTTATCAAAAGGCTGGAAATGAGCTGGTGACCTTGCGTCACCCAAAATCGAAGGAGATAAAGCAGACCGTCTCTGCGCTGATCACTCATTGGGAGGATCTGAAGCAAGCGGTTGCAGCCCGTGGAAAAGTTCTTGAGGATAACCGTGATTTTCTTGAGTTCCTGCAGAAAGTGGAACAGGTTGAAGTTTGGATTAGACAAAAGGTAAATAAATGAGGCCATTCCATAACAAAATGCTGAAAACATATAAAGTACTGGTACACCCTGAATTAATGCTTGGTTTCACTGACCTCGGTTTCTTTTCTGTGTAGGAAGTGATGATAAATGTTGGTGATGTTGGGGAGGATTATGAACATGGTCAGCAGCTGCTAAAGAAGCTCAGTGAATTCAGAGGCTCAGGTTCTGGAGTAAGTCTGGTGTTGGGAAAATATGAACCTTACAAAGAAAAACTACATATTGATTTTTTTTTTGTGTTATGTAACAGCAGTATACAGCATATTGCTTAGTACAGTAACATTCTTTCACTAAGTAGTTTTCATCCATTAGGATGTGACTGTTGATGATGCTCACATCAAGACAATCAACACTCTGGCAGCCCGGCTAGAGAGACAGAACAGTGATGAGCTAGCGACTGTGAGAAAGCGTAGGCAGCAGCTCAATGAACGGTACATCCTCCTTTCAACTGAGATCCATGTTCATTTAAGAAAATACACTCATCCTCTGTTATATATCTAGCATATTGTTGTTTGCTTTGACTTTCTTGTCACCTTCCCAACAGATGGAGTAATTTTCATGGCAACCTGAGCAGCTATAAGCGGAAGCTGGAGGCAGCGCTAGAGATCCACGCCTTGATTCGAGAGCTAGAAGAAGTCCGGGACAGAGCTGGAGAGAAGGTGAGAGAAATCAGATTACATGTCTTTGAATCTGAACCCAACTTTGGCTTTGAACATAATATGAGAGAAAATTGAAATGTATTTTACACATACATTTTCAATATAACAATATTTTAAATATATTTAATGATATATTCCTAATGACATATGCTTAATTAAAGATTAAATTTTTCGGTCACAGATGCTGTTGCTCCAGGGACAGGGCTGTGGAGTGGATGTGGAGAGTGTGGAAAACCTTATTCGCAGGCATGAGGAGATGGAGAGGGAGGCCAGAGTCATCCAAGAGAGAGGCACTGTGAGTAGACTGGACAGCTGTTATACAAAGAACACATTCATCCATATTAATCAGTGCACTGTGGGTAGCACGTCCTATACAGTATCTATTGTGTGTGCTTGCTTTGTGGTTAAAGGCTTTTTAGAAAATCTCTCAGCACCTTCCTGTTTAGTAACTGCTGTACGTACAAAAGCCTTTAAATAAACCATTCATGGTGCATTATATGCTGTAGAGTGAGGGTTTGTGAAACTCACTAAAGATAGTCTGCTTACAAGAAGGGTTACAAAGAACATAATTGCTTAATTTGTAAAACCAGGCCCTGGAGAAGGAGACTAAAGATCGGTTAAGGAGACACTGTGATCTGGCTGACAAACTTAGTAAGAAGCAGGAAGAGGTCAACATTGCCTTAGTAAAGCTAGACAAGGAAATCAAACGAAGGTATGCATGCAACCATTAGTTGCTATATTCTTAATTTATTGTAATAATTATAATAATAATAGTATGATTAAATAGTGTAACATGGTGAAATGTATTTAAAATATACATTAAATGAGAAAATAAATTGAATGTTTTGGTAGGAAGGAACGATTGCAAGAGTCTCATCAGCTGCAGCTGTTTAAAGCTAACCAGCGCCTCCTGTTGGACTGGACCCTGAAGCAAAGTGCTGAGATGGTGAAGAAAGGCCTGCCTAAGAATAAGACTGAAGCGGAGAGTTTCATACTAGAGCACCAGAACTGGAAGGTATTGAAATATATATACATTATTAAATTATTCAGTTTCTCAGTTCATGTGACCATGATAATTTTCCCATGTCAACTTTTTTTAGTCAGATTGCTGTTGTTTTGTATGTTCTTATCTTCTTCTGTCACAAAATACAATGCTAAAATGAATTCATTTACAGTGACTTTTAATACAGTGATTTACAGTGAATTATACAGTAATTTATAATGTTTTACATACGATGACGTACTGTAATGTTATATGATACCAGACATGTGTTATATCAACATTTAATGATTGCAGGCTGAGATTGATGCTCGCAGTGAACGCATAGATTCGGTTAAGAGTTTTGGACAAAATCTTGTGAAGTCTGGACACAGCGATTCAGCAGAAATTAAAGAAGCCCTACGCAAGCTGGAGGACGCCAAAACAAAGCTTGCTCAAGCTTGGGAGGACCGAAAGAAAACTCTGGATCAAGCTCTGAAGCTCCAGGTGACTTAAGATAACAGCAGGTGGTTTTGCTTCATTGAGGTTCTGTTTATTCTGTGAGGTATTATGTGAAGCATAATGAGATATTGATTGGTTGCAGATATTCCTGGGCTATGCTGACCAGACTGAGAGCTGGATGAGTAACAGGGAGGCTTTCTTGATCAATGAAGATCTTGGGGTAAGAGATCAATTTCTTTGACCTCATTTAAATGCCCTTGGTTGTTTTCTTCTCTGTAACTTTGAAAATGGATGCTGAAAGGTGTTTCACACGGTCATTGCAGGGTTCAGTGTCAGAGGTGGAGGCTCTTCAGAGGAAGCACGCTCTGTTTGAGAACTCTCTAGAAGCTCAGATGGGGCAGGTGGCAGAGGTTGACAGATATGCTCAGCAGCTCATACAGGCACAGCACTATGACTCTGACAACATCAAGAAGAAGATTAAAGCTATTCTGCTCAGGTATGCAGTAAGCCAAGAAAACCCACTTAAGTAGGACATATCATGAAATTACATATCATATAAATCGCATATCATAAAAATGACATATTACGTATACATATCTATATATGTAATTTCATATTTAATTCTGATGTCTTTGAAATATTGTTGAAGTGTACTGACAAGTGTGCTGACAAGCACTTATGGTGAACTAAAATATACTTTAACATCATTTCTATTGTATATCATGTATTTAAATATATTTGTAATAACACATTTTCAATGATGAAGCTTCGATTTAGCACATTTAAAATATATAACTTTAAATATAATATTAAATAACAGAGTACAGTTAAAATATTAAGTACTTTACATGTGCCTAAGTCAACATCAAAATAAGTGTACTTTAAAACATGACAAAAGATTTTTAAAACATAATTATTTAAAATATACTTTAAAGTAAAACCTTTAATTTGACATTATCACGAAGTGCAACTTTTATTTATCATATTATTACAAAATGGCCTTTTATTTCATCAATATATCTGCAAGTACAAATGCACTTTTAAGATCTGAAGTACACTTCAAGCGCACATTCAATACAATTAAGCACACTTCTTTTTCACAAAGGATCAGAAATATTAAATGTACTGTTCAAGTAAAATTCCTTTCTTAAAGGAAGGACAAAGTACTGGAAATGAGCAAAGCCAGACGAAAAGCATTGGAAGAATCTCTACAGCTGCAGAAATTCCTGGAAGGAAGCTATGAGGTGTGTGAAGTAAACAGCTCCTGCTGAATGTGGAAAATAAATTGTACGTAGTTTGATTTTACACATCAGTAGCTCTTTTACAAAGTCAATTTCTCATTTGTAAAGGTTTCTTCATGGTTGAATGAGAAGAACTCTGTGGCTGTTGATGAGAGCTGGAGAGATCCTATTAACCTGCAGGCTAAGCTACTAAAACAACAGAGCTTTGAGGCAGAGATACTGGCCAACCGCAACAGAGTGCAGACCTTCATAAAAGTACGGCATTGGACTCTTAAAGAATGTCTGAATATCTCTTAATCTTTTTGTATGTGTATAATTCAGACTTAAAGGAGCATCAACAGCTAAAACATGAATTGTTTCCTCAGGTTGGTGATAATATGCTAGCTTCCAGTCATCCTGCTAAAGGCAAGATAAAACCACGAATAAAGGACGTTGATGACAGCTGGGACCAGCTTTTAAGCAACTGCAAGGAAAAGAAGTTACGTCTACAGCAAGCATATCAGGTACAGCATGCTAAAACTCAAGCTCAAGGCATAAGTGTGGACACTGAAACTGATTTTTTTTGATGATATTATGTAGAGGTGCTGCTTACACATTGTTCCCTGACAATGAATAATAGATACACCAACATATCTTCATGACTTTCAGACAAAGCTAATTCAGATTTACTAATGCCGGTCTGAAATATCATCTTGGATAATGTGGTTTTCCTCTAGGCACTGCAGTTCCAGCGCTCTTTGGATGACATCGAGGAGTGGCTTGGGACAGTAGAGATAGAAGTGGCGAATAAGGACTACGGTAATGACCTGGCCTCAGTTAGTAGGCTGCTTAAGGCCCTGCAGGGTCTGGAGGAAATGGTAGATGCACACATGGAGAAAGTCCAGGGGCTGGTGGACACAGCCAAAGACTTCAGCTCTCAAGGCAACTTCCTTGCAGAAAATATACAGCAGAGGGTTTGGAAGGTGGTCAACAGGTACGTTTTTGTTCAGCCCCAATTTCATTCTACTGTAGAAAGTTTAGTGAGTCCTTCACATGGATTTGAATGACGTTTAAATGTGGTAGAAGTCCATAGTCCAAATCCTGTGGGCACGAAAACTGATAATGAAGAAAGTAAATGATTTGATAAGCTCTTATGTACATGGATTATTTGATAAGCGCTATTTACAAGTGAGCAATACTGACATTCCAAGATTAAACATTAATGTGGCCACTATTCACGAGTTTTGAAATGTCAGTCGAATGATCTAAAACACCACATAATTGCTGTGTCATACTACATGTAATCCCATAGCATGTGGTATTATGTTTTTTTTTTCATCTGATTGACAGACTGAGTGGAAAACACTGACGTTTAATCATTTCTCTCAGGTATAATGGGCTGGCTGAGCCGCTTCAGGCCCGCAGGGAAACTCTGGAGTCATGGCAGCTGCTGTTCCAGTTCTACAGGGACTTAGAGGATGAGCTGCTGTGGATTCAGGACAAGCTGCAGGCCACAGCCACAAAAGACTGGGGCACCTCCCTGCAGAGTATACAAGCCATAGTCAAAAAACATCTGGTTAGTCTGGTCCAGGAATACTTACTGTATGCATGTTTAAACTGGTGCTTCAAAACCCTGGGAGATTTTTATTCTGCTCTGCTTTAATAAACTGATGTTTTGTTTTGTTACAAGACTCGTCAGCAAGCACAAAGAGCCATTTCTGATAAACCGATATCTTTTCTTATAGGTTATGATGCAGGAAATTGAGAGCCGAACCCCTCTAATAATGGCTGTGCAGGAGGCAGGACAGAACCTGGTGCGAGGACGACACTTTGCATCACGTGAGATCAGTGAAAAACTTGCTGATTTAAAGAAGAACTTTGACACTTTGAAGAAAGTGTCAGCGAATAAGGATCGCCAGCTTCAACAAGCACTGAAAATCCAGACCTTTCTCTCAGAGGTGTGTTACCCGTTCACACTGTAATGTGATTCATATACATATTATTAAATCTGATGTCTGATGTCTCTTCATAATGACCCAGGTTTCCCAACTGGAGCAATGGATGGAGGAGCAGAGGCCTGTATTAGAGTCCAAGGACTATGGAAAGAGTGAGGAGGCCACTGAAGCTTTCCTCAGGAAACTAGACACAGTTGACCTGGAGTTGGAAAGCCAGTGTGGAAAAGTAGAAGCACTCCTGAAAACTGGCACTGATCTAGAAAAGTCCCAACATCCCAACAGGTGCAGTTATTGGGTCATGATAGCATTGATTAATTGAGCTAATTGCTGGTTTTTGTAATAGCTTTGCTATCAGTGATGTCAGCAGATTTGCTGATCAAGAAACTCCTCTCAGTATTATCAATGTTGAAAACAGTTGCGCTGTCTAATATGTTGGTAGAAACAGTGATACTGTTTTTTTAGGATGCTTTGGTTAATAGAAAGCATCTGCATCTGTTTTAAATAGAAATCTTTTATAACATAAAAAATATCTTTACTGTCACTTCTGATCAATTTATACCGTCCTTGCTGAATAAAAGTATTAATTTCTTTACAAAAAAAACAACAAAAAAACCTTACCGACCCCAAACTTTTGAATGGTAGCTTTGAAGTTGAAAACCTCAAATAATAATGTTTTGAATTTATAATGTGTCTTTGCAGTCATTTAGTGAGTAAGAGCCTTGAAGATATGCATGGTGGGTTTGAGACACTACTGCAACTGTCTGCTCAACGTCGCACAGAGTTGGAAAATCAGTACAATCTCTATGTATTTGAGAGAGAAGCCAAAGACCTACAGAACTGGCTACTTTCCCGCAAAACCACAGCAGAGTCTGATGACTTTGGTCAAGATCTGGAAGGGGTGGAGGTAAGATTGGCTCAAAAATAGAGAGTAGAAACACTATACAGTTTTATGATTAATATATTCTTGATGTATTTGCCTTTATCTGTTTTTTCCATATATTAATTGTAAATGACTTTGGATTAGAAGTCATACTACATTCATATACTGTAACTCTATCATGGTAACTTATAAAAAGATACTTAGCACTTGTCAGACTTTACAACCTTCTTAGCTGTAAGAACTATTTTAATCATCAAAATTGTTTTTAAATCAACTTGTGCTCTTGTTAGGCACTGCAGAAGAAGTTTGAGGATTTTGCAGAAGAGGTCGGCACTCTGGGCCAGAATAAGCTGAGTACAGTCCAAAAGCTGAAGCAGACGGTGCAGTCATCAGAGGCACAGCAGAAAGAGAGAGATCTACTCAAGCTCTGGGAGGATTTAAACAAGGCTATGAAAGCAAGAGCACAGGTAATATTAAAAAAATACAACAACAGCGACTCTTCTAAGGCAGTGATATTGCAAATTGAATCACTTCTGGGAGTTAAAAGGAAATGTTTTGACAGAACCTGCGTTCCGCTCGAGAGGTTCACCAGTTTGACCATGACTTGGATGAGCTTAGGAGCTGGATGAATGAGAAAGAGGTGGCTCTGGACTCTGAGGAGCAGGAGAATGACCTGCTGAGTGTCCAAGCTCTCATCCGCCAACATGAAGGCTTGGAGGTACCCAATATTCATACGCACTTGTTGCTATCAGCCTAATGTTCAATTGAAAACATGTAAACTACCACAGGTGGATTTTTAAAATAGTACAACCATCTGTTTCATCAGAGAGACCTTGCAGTGATAGAAGAAGGCGTGTCTCGTCGAAAAGAGGAAGGCAAAGCACTGGTCCGAAAGTGTCCTCGAGTGAGGGACAGTTTGAGCGAGAGGCTGCAGGAGGTGGAGGAGATCTGGAGGAGCCTGCTGGAAAAGGCCAACCAGCGCAGACAAAGACTCCAACAGGCAGAGGCTGTTCAGAGATATCTGACTGAATGGAGAGAGCTGATGTATGCAATGTTTTCTTTCTCTCTCTCTCTCTCTCTCGCTCTCTCTCGCTGTTTTCCATGTGTTGTCCTGCTGTTTACATTGATGCTGTTGATTGTGTCTTAGGGGCTGGCTTAAGGAGACACTGTCTCTAATGACAGGGGAGGGGGTTGGAGGTGAGGTTAAAGACCTGGAGCAGCTCATTAAAAGACACGAAGAGTACCGCACACAGATTGACAGGCAATTATACAAATCAGAAATGGTTCAAAACGAAGGGAGACATCTGATGGAAGAGGGGAACTTCATGAGTCACGAGGTATGACAGTCATGCCTAAAGGCTGGAATACAATACACAACTTTTGCCCTGATTTTGCCCTGAGTCCATGTGCACATTTCAGGGGGTTCAGAGTTTAAATGAAAAGTCTGAGATGCTTTAAAAACGTATTCAGGTAGGTTAAGAAAAGGCTCAAAGCAAGCAACGTTTAGTTAACAACAAAACATGATTGACATGTACAGTGTTCATTGTGAACCTTCTTATAAAAGCATTATGTTGGTCAAAGCACATGAAAATAAACCTGTAAAAAGTATGTAAAGTCACTATATGTATGTGCAGCTGGAGGACCGTCTAGCTGAGCTCCAGGACCTGGAAGAGCGAGTGCTGGAAGCCTGGGCCGAAAGGAGAGCTCAATATCAGGAAGACCTTGAACTGCAGCAGCTGCAGAGAGAGCTGGAGCAGGCCGAGCACTGGCTCAACACCTATGAGAGCGCGCTCAAAGCAGAGGACTATGGGGTGGGAAAATTTTGGGGAAAATGTTTACATATATGTAGGCAGCATATGACTCCCTTTCGCTTCAAGAACAGCTTCATCAAATCTAACTGTACTGAATTTGTGGACAGGACTCCGTTTCAGATGTTCTGGAGTTGATGAAGAAGCAGGAAGATCTGGAGGCCATGATTCAAGCTCAGAGTGAGAGATTTAATGCCCTTCAAGCCAGACGAATACAGGTAAAAGTATAAAATAGCTCACTCATACTAGCATTACTCCAAATTTATCCGTTTTGACTCACCTTTTTGTAATTTTTCTGCTCTTTCTTTGGTGTCCCAGAGGGAAAAGAAAATCAAAGAAATTCAGAGCGGTGGCAGTAGGGACAAGCCCGTTCGTGTAACTTCCCTAAAGCGAAAGCCATCTGAGCAACCAGCTTTGCCCCCACGTCCCTCGCTGACCAGTCCTGTCCTAAGGAACAGCAATGGCAAGAGCGATAATTCATCCACACCCTCCCGAGTCCCTACAGCCAGGTCTGCCATCCCACCGAGAAGCAGCAGCGGTAAAAATGAATCCTCTGTGGTGTCAAGAGTGGCATCAGGCCTCAGGAGAAACAGCAGCAGCGGCAGTGATACCGTAACTGCCCCCGACAAACCATCCACCTCTGTTCTAGACAGCCCAGAATCATCCTCAGAAATTTCCAGTGCTGTTTACAAACTCCATTATTTACACAATGCCCCCAAGATTGACCATACCACGTCTGAAGATGAGGTCGATACTCCGAGACAGACCGAACCCTCCGTCGAAGTCATTACTAAACCAAAGATAACTCCTAGGTTTCTGAAACCATCAGCCCCTGATAAAGAGATGCTGGGTCCTCCTACGTCAAAACCCCCTGAGCCACCCTCTAAAGATGAAGAAATGGTGGACAACCAAACCTCAGTGGATAAAAGCCTTCTTTCATCCACCCCACCAGAAAAACCTCAGTCATCTCCCCTTTCAGACCCAGAAGTACAAACATCCACTTCTACTGAATCTCCAATAGGGACGACTGTTGCCACCAAGGTAAATGCTATTTAAGTGCTTTTCTTTTTAGATTCCACCTTTTTTTGGTCCGTAATTAGTGTACTTTTTTAGATCAGAGCAGGACATGCCAAAATGGAGGGTACCTTGGAGATTAAACTGAAGCAAGGAGGATATAAAGTAAGCTTTCCAACCAACACCAATGGTGATATTGATTAAAAAGCTTTCTCTGACATCCTTAGCTCCACTTCTTTGTTTATAGTGTGGTTTTGTTTCTGTAAGAGCACTTAATGGTGTAACATTGATCTGTTGGTTTGGATCAGGGCTTGGATCACTGGGAAACAGTCTATGCACTACTGGAAGAGGAGACACTCAATCTGTTTAAAGACCAAGATGCTGCCAGTGAGGTATGAGTCTACACACACAACATGGACTCACACACACTTGGCTAGACACGCTAGTGAAAGAGAGACTCAGTGAGAGCTATGTTTATTATTAATTAACTATATATCCAGACAGGCAAGGCAATTATTTTTGCAGACAACCTTGCATCTGTGAGTCCACCACATGATGACAATAATTATATCAATTCAAGGAGATGTTTTTGTGGTCGACTTTGTGGACTTTCTCTTTAATCCATGTCATTTAATACAGAACTGTACACGCTGGCCACCGATTACATTGGCTGAAGCAGTCTGTAAAGACAATCCGTACTACAGGAGAAAGGAGAACACATTCAAAATCATGTGAGTTCTGATTCACACCACCTGCCATTGTGAAAGGAACATCTGCTCACGTGTCAGATGAAAACAAATCTATAATCTGTTTGACTCTCTGGTTTAGGTTGAGCGATGGCAGTCACTATCTGTTTGCCGCCTCTTCTCAAGAAGAACAGCAAAAGTGGTTGAAGGAGCTTCAGAACTGCACAAATTCAACGGTGTCCTCAGAAAGTCCTGGGTAAAATTATATAAACAACAATAATGATTGACAACTACAATAATGATGAACAACAAAAATATATAGACACACACATACTACCATTCAAAAGTGTGCAATCCTTAAGATTTTTTTATGTTTATGAAAGATGCCTCTTATGCTTACCAGCTTACCAAGGTGGCAATTTATTTGATCATAATTACAGTAGAATGTACATATTGTGAAATATCATTATAATTTAAATAATTACAGTATGTATATAATCCATAATACAGTCATGTATAATCCAGTCTTCAGTGTCACATGATCCTTCTGAAAACATTGTCTGATTTGCTGCTCAACAAACATTTCTTTTCAGGATTCTTTGATTTGAAATACAAATCTTTTGTAACAATTCAAATATCTTTACTGTCACTTTTAGTATATTAGTGTATGTAAAGTATTCATTTTATTAATAACAAAAAAAAATTGTACTAACCCTACTATGAAGAATGGTGTTCAGATTATCAAAACTGCTTTTCTGCTTATTAATATTTGGGGGGGGGGGATAAAACTCAGTGATGCAACCAATGTATATAAACATTAAAAAAAAAACAGGAAATTATATCGTAGAGGAGTTTTGCAAGCCCCCATGACAGTATGTCAAGGTCAGTAAGTCGCTTATAAAATAATATTACCTTTTTATGACAAGGCAAGTTTACTTCAGATTGTAAAATGTCTCATGATTCTAACCCAAAAATGTAATATTTGTGAATTAGTAATTATTTGATTGAGATGTGCACACTCACATATTCTTAAAAGTGTATGGAAAATATATTAACTTTTAATAGCTGGACAATATTAATTCTTTAAACTGAAACTTTTATTGACTTCTTGGTTTTTCACTTAAATAATTCTTAACTTTCTTTGTTTCTTTATCATGTTATTTGTCTTTGACCCATTTACATATTATCAGTTCCTGAATAAATCAGATTATTGGACAGCTAGGTTTTCTCACATGCTCATATGATTGTAATGTTTGTCCCCACACAGAATTAACACAGAAGCAAGTAGAGAAAGCACAGAGCAGTGTGAGTCTGTGCCAGCCGACACATCTGACACACAAGATTCCACCACAAAGTCGAACCAGGAAAAGGGTGAGAGAACAAACAGAGCCTGAGTACTTCTGTGCGTTTATGTGTGCCAATGTGTGTGCTTCTGCTTAACACTTACTGTGGATTTGTATTAACAGAAGACTCCACAGAGAGCTATGAGACAGAGAGAAAGCCACCACCTAAACCTCCCCACACTTATTACAACAAACACCGCTATCCTGAAGGAGGAGAGAGCCAAGACTCGGGTGAGATCCCATACCTGCTATGAGTCATGCATCTCAAAGTGTGGCTGTAAAATCTAATTACTGAAGGGTAATTAATTAGTCCCTAGTATCAAGGCTTGGACTGTGATCATAAATGACTTTGGTGGTCAATCAAAATGAAAATGTCTTTTTAATGTTATTGTGATGGATAAAGGTTTATTTATCTCTTATCAGATGGTCACTGGTTTGTCTGAATCATAATAAAAAAAAATAAAAAAATAAAAAATATATATTTTTTTCTCTTCAGTAAGTGTGACCCAAATTGTAAGAAGTCTACAGAGGAACCAACCCCCACCATTCGCCCCACCTCCTCCACCACAAAACCAGGCTGAGAATGGAGCCAAGGACAAGTCCAAAAACAGGAGCGCCTTAATGAAATTTTTCAAAAAATGATTTTTACATAACAGATTTGACCTTCTCTGCCTTGATGTGGCAGTAGTTGAAAATTTACTTCTTTTAAAGGCTATTTATATTTGAATCTAATATTATACATTATTGTTATTAGTTGATAGAATCGACGTTTAGTAGAATCAATAACTTTTTTTGTGATTACAGATGTGCAATGATACCTCGTAAATAATTGTGTGTATAGAATTCCAAGATATACACTAAATAAATGTTTCACAAATACTGCTAAATGTTAAAATGCTAATGTTAAAAACTAAAATCCATCAGATCAGGAGTTTTTTTTTTTTCATAAATAATTATATATTTTTGTTATATGAATAAAAATAATGTGCTTGCTTCTGATTGTATTATATTTAAAGATTCTAGTGCTGATGAAGTATGCTGCGTAGGGTGGGTTGAAAAGTGGGTAAAATGGAACAAAGGGTATCATGATTATTGCCATTTAAACCTGAGTAAACAATAAAATATTACTGTCATCAATAATTGCTGTATGTGTCTTTGTTATAAAATTAATAAGAACAAAAAGCAAGGTAAAGCAGTGCTTACTGTATTAACAGGTCTACAATTATTACATTATCTATAAAAAAAAAACTGAAATCTGGTAGTATTATCTGTGCTCCATCATTAATTTATCAAAAACTTTTGATCCCACTTTTGCATATTGCAACCTATGTACAATCAGATCATATAAAGTATTAATTTGACAGTGTCGTAAGACGTTCCTCGTAATAACTCAATTATGCGGTTAGTTACCTACCACATGATGGCGCTACAGACTATGAAAAACGATTGTTCTCCATCCTTGAGAAGTTCGAGTTTATAAACATTTTATAATTTTAGGGCTAATTCAGAAACAAGTTTTTTTTTAATTGTATAAACGGTAAAAGGCAAAAAAAAATATATATACATAATTCTCACGACTATTACCGGATATGTACTTTATTTTTTTAAATTTAATTTTTTTTTACATAAAACGTATTATTATTAGTCTTATCATTAGCTATTGTTTTAGTTATGACGTATGCGTCGCACAACAATAATGCATAAACAGAATGATAATGATTAGGCCTATGCCCGATTTAAATTGTATAAACGGTAAAAGGCAAAAAAATATATATATACATAATTCTCACGACTATTACCGGATATGTACTTTATTTTTTTAAATTTAATTTTTTTTTTACATAAAACGTATTATTATTAGTCTTATCATTAGCTATTGTTTTAGTTATGACGTATGCGTCGCACAACAATAATGCATACACAGAATGATAATGATTAGGCCTATGCCCGATTTCATTTCATTTCACGATTTCGATTTCTTTCTTTTTTTTTTGTCAGTGAAACCTTAATGTGTGACCTTAATTTTGTGTTTGTCTTTGGCAAGAACACTGGCATATTATGAATAAATACATCTCGCATTGTTTTTATTTATATATTTATATTGTTGTTCTAGCAACACACAGCAAAAATGCATTTACGAGTTTTGTTTTGAAAATGTCATTCAACTCAAGATTTTAGTTAAGACAGGACTGAAGAGGAAATTAGGCCTAAAAGTAGACTATGGCTTAAATTGATCTGTTTACCTATTTGTTTGTCTTTACAAAGAGAAGAATCATTTTTCCTTTGAATCATTCTCTAGCTGGATCTATGAGATACATTTTTGCATGAGTTGTGTCATTTCGACCCTGTGAATTTGTTAAATTATTTAGTAGCCTGTTGGAAAACCAAATACTAATATATATATATATAATAGAAAAAATAGCGAGTTTACCCAAGAAGCGCAAAAGAGAAGATGCACTGTAATTTTTCCTCGCCGCTAGAGGGCACTCTATTAAAGACAAGCTCCAAAAGACGGGTTTGACTTTGTGCAGGATTACCTCCCTGTTTCAGTTCTCATTTCAACACAGGCGTATGTTTGTTAAGGTAAGTGACAACTGTGTTTATTTAAGCGACGTGCTCATGAACATTTCAATCATTTTAGGAAGAGCCCACATAACTGTGGAAAACTTTAACCTACTATCATCAACACAACCGTAGGCTACTGCTATAAAAGATGGAGATGGTGTTATAGTCTAAATAAATATATTAATGGACATTATTTATTGGAAATAATTTCATTAAACATTTCAGAAAATATCAAACACTGTCTTCATACATAGAACCATCAACATTTTACTTTAGCCTATAGCCTATTGTTGCAGGCGTAGCCTCAGTAGGCTATGCATTCATGTTAGTTCAACGCAAATAAACAAATATTGAAATAATAAATAAGTAAATAAATATTAAAATGAACCCCCCTCTCGTTTACTTTAAAATTCGTTAGCACAAGACGTGGCCATAGTTTTGACATATTATGATCAGGGCTTAATAAAAAAAACCAACAATAAAATTTGCCGATTAATAGGCTATTTATTACAATTTATCAAACACAATAGGCTACATCACATACAATAATGTGCCATATTTATGTAATTAACCGGATGATAATATTACTCAGGCTTGTAGCCTACATGTTTTTAACGGCCCGTCGCAAACCAAAATGAACTTTGCAATGCTGCGAAAGCTCATGTTTGATACGGGCTAAAAAACAATATAGCTATCAATAGTGAAAACGGGCAAAATGCACTTAGATACTTAAAGGAAAATGTGTGGACAACTGTAATCAAATAAGGAAAGTATGAAAATTTGTGCATTATCCGCATACCTATTTCTAATCAGTTTGATTTTTGCGCCTATGGTGCACTTTAGTTGCAGTCAGACAGTGACGAAGAGACATTAACATATTGTTTGCTGAAGGTGGCCTACAAACATGTGTCATTTATAAAAACAACCTAATATGATCGAGTCATGCAGCCTCACCCGCTCAAACTGTTATTTTCTCTTCGGCTTTGAAGGGTTAATAGCTTTATCAAAGTACATTAAAAGCAACATGTGGGATGTGCGTTGATACAAATGGTCTGAAATATATGCAGTCACTGATGTCATATTTATAATTATTATAACCGACTGTGCAACTTGTGCCAGAGTTTTATGTTTTTGTTGGATATCAGGTTTAATGTATGATTCCAATAAAAATGTGTGCAGTGCAACAAATATTATCCTATGCAACAAACAGTTAATGTCGACCAGTAATCCTTAGGTATATTCTCCATAAAATATCTGACTAAATGTTACATTTTGAAATGAAATAATATCGCATAGGCTATAGGCTATCGCATATTGGTGTGGGTTAATGCATTTGGTCACTTCTATAGTATAGAAAATAAAGGGTTATTTAATAATGCAAAACAAACACAACATAAATAATAATAACAGTTTGAAAAAAAATAGATAATTTTATGTTTTTTATTGTTATATATGTTTCTGTGATAGGCTGAATTTGGTAAAATAAGTTTGATTGATTTGAATGTTTTTATGAAACTATATGTTTATAGGCAGGCCTGAGTTTATTATTAAAATTCCACCTTGTGGGAATCCAGTACGCTTGTTTGTTTATTTGTTTGCGTGTGTACGATTTGTTTGCACATGTGAATGCGTGTGTCTGTTGTTCAGTCAACCCCCCTGCAACGTCCCCAGCACAAATACACACATATCACCCCTTCCATTACTAGAGAAACTTCAACCGTAAATATAAAGCAACTAATTGATGCCGTTATTCGCGAGGTTATTCTTGCGTCCTTAATAAGATTGATTTTATTTATTATTATTTATTTTAAAACGATCTTGCACTGTAGATCTGTTTCTTAAAAAATACTAGGGGCCTTAACTAGTGCTATTCTGGTATATAAAGTCCTTATTTTGTGTTGGGAGCTCTTTGTTTTCTCTAAATTCTTATAACAGATATACTCTCCATCCTCTACAAATATTATATTTCCTCCACTTATGCGAGAAGTTTGTATGCGGACATTTCTGATAATAGACCTTCTATATCTAGCCTATTGGTTATTGTCTGCCTTGTAAATAGCTAAAGCAATAAAAAATAACTGCATGCGTCTGGTTTATCACGTTAAATTAATCATCTATAAACGTAGGCTACCCAGAAATAAACGATCATCTACTTGCGTTATTATTAGCCTATTATTATTATTATTATAGCTTAGTTATTAATAGTAAAAAAGTGTAGGCTATCGTGTTATATCGTTGTTCTTATCAACTGCCTCTCTTGTAATTGTTGATATGATATTGTTCATGGTGGTGCTTAGTAGCATGATTATTAACACGCTAGAAATAAAGATGCTTATAGCGTCTTACTATGTGGATGAACGTCACATATCGTTTATGTTCAGAATCGTTTATCTGTATAAACGTGCGACTAAGTAGCCTATATTGCTACATGTAGCTACGGACTTGACACTTCTAAGAAAAACTGTTCAAATGTGATATATAGCCTACGCGAGAACGAATAAGTAGCCTATATAACATCGTATAAATATAGCCGATCGCCAGAAAGGATCTGCATTTAATGCAAACGCTACAAATATTCCGTCGCTGTTCAGCGAGTATTCTCAATTAATGTTATACCTAGGCTATGTGCTGTAGCTTCATGTGTATTAAAAGCCATACATTTCCGATACAGGAAGTAGTACCTGTTTTTTTGTGGCTACCTTTTAGTCCCTTTTGTTTTTCCCCCTGCGGTATGAAAACAAATTGAGGACGCATGGATATGTTGAAACAGCACTCTACAATTATAAAAAAAAATTGATTGAGGTTATGTGGTCTGTTTTCTTGGTAGGAGTTTGCTGGGGGAAATGAAAGCCATTGTTGACTGGGCATGAGCATTGGTGGATCTTGTGTATCCTTACGCACTGGAACAGGCGCTAAGAACTGCTCAATGATTGGCTGCGCGGTTAATACTTATGCTGCTGTGGTTGGCTGCAGTCTCTAAAAAGGTTCAAGCTATTTTTTTACAGCTTAGTGTCTGTGGCTCCGTAATTAATTGTAGCTAGCTGTCTCATATCGACGTGTTTTTAAGGAACATGAAATAGTTGTTGTGTTTTTTTAATTAGAGGAGTTGCCAGAGCAAGAGATTTGAAGTCCAACTGCTGCTGCTGCTGGTTGTTGCTACTCTATCTTACTTGTGATGTTGGATATGGGAGAAAGGAAAGAAGTCAAAATGATTCCTAAATCATCGTTCAGTATAAACAGTCTGGTTCCCGAAGCCGTGCAAAGCGACAACCACCAACACCACAGAGCGGTGCATGAGGAAGAGGAGAAGACTCATTTACCTGTCCAAGCACAGGAGCAAAAGTCGGAGAACACTTGCGCTAAAAGTGACAATTCATCCCACGACTCCTCGTGCACCGACGAGAAGGACAAGCAGGAAGAGAAACGGGACTCGAAGGAGGGCGAAGGAGGCAAAGAAGGCGACAAGAAAAACGGCAAGTACGAGAAACCACCTTTTAGCTACAACGCTTTGATTATGATGGCTATTCGGCAGAGTCCGGAGAAGCGGTTAACCCTTAACGGCATTTACGAGTTCATTATGAAAAATTTCCCGTATTACCGAGTTTTTTAATTAGAGGAGTTGCCAGAGCAAGAGATTTGAAGTCCAACTGCTGCTGCTGCTGGTTGTTGCTACTCTATCTTACTTGTGATGTTGGATATGGGAGAAAGGAAAGAAGTCAAAATGATTCCTAAATCATCGTTCAGTATAAACAGTCTGGTTCCCGAAGCCGTCCAAAGCGACAACCACAATCATCACCACCAACACCACCACAGAGCGGTGCATGAGGAAGAGGAGAAGACTCCTTTACCTGTCCAAGTACAGGAGCAAAAGTCGGAGAACACTTGCGCTAAAAGTGACAATTCATCCCACGACTCCTCGTGCACGGACGAGAAGGGGAAGCAGGAAGAGAAACGGGACTCGAAAGAAGGCGAAGGAGGCAAAGAAGGCGACAAGAAAAACGGCAAGTACGAGAAACCACCTTTTAGCTACAACGCTTTGATTATGATGGCTATTCGGCAGAGTCCGGAGAAGCGGTTAACCCTTAACGGCATTTACGAGTTCATTATGAAAAATTTCCCGTATTACCGAGAGAACAAGCAGGGATGGCAGAATTCCATCAGACACAACCTGAGTTTGAACAAATGTTTTGTCAAAGTGCCCCGGCACTACGATGACCCCGGGAAGGGGAACTACTGGATGCTTGACCCCTCCAGCGACGACGTGTTCATTGGCGGCACAACGGGCAAACTTCGGCGGAGATCGACCACTTCTAGGGCAAAGCTTGCGTTTAAAAGAGGCGCGAGGCTTACTTCCACCGGACTGACGTTTATGGATAGAGCTGGCTCTTTATATTGGCCCATGTCGCCTTTCCTCTCGCTTCACCATCCGAGGGCGAGCAGCGCATTGAGTTACAACGGCACGTCGTCGGCTTACCCTAGTCACCCAATGTCCTATAGCACAATGTTGACTCAAAACAGTTTGGGGAACAGTCACTCTTTCCCTGCCTCCAATGGAGTGCCATGTGGGCTCTCCGTGCCCTGCTCAGGGACGTACTCTTTGAATCCGTGTTCAGTGAACCTACTGGCGGGCCAGACCAGTTACTTCTTCCCCCACGTCCCTCACCCATCCATGACCTCGCATAGCAGCACGTCCATGAGCTCCCGGGCCGCCTCTTCCTCCTCCCCGCAAACGGTCTCCTCTCTCTCGTGTGACTCCTTAAGGCCTTCCCTGACTAGTTTTTCCTCCGGGCTTTCCAGCGGACTTTCTGACTACTTCACACATCAGAATCAAGGGTCAACATCAAATCCACTTATACACTAACTAGCATCCACAGGATCAGACTGTAAGTGAACATTTTACACCAATTTACACTGTAATATATATAAATGAAAAAATTAAGGAGAATGAACGGACAATGCAAGCCGAATTCCAGGTATTTTGTATTATTATTATTATTATTCTGCATTTATTTCTGACTGTATACAAACGTCAAGTGTCGCGGAACTGTTTATTATTCCACTGTCAGCAACGTGCAATGTGACCAGAGTAAAAAAAAGGATTAAGCATAGTTTTTTTTTTTTTTTTTTTTGGAAAGGCAGTATGATTACTTTAGAATGTTTATTTAAATAGTGGTTGCAGTTTTGTCTAATTTTAAATGTTAAAATATCTAATACTTTACAGAACAACCTCCAGTCATCATGTTTGCAGTATTATCACGTCATGAGCACTGGTGGGGTGAGATTTTTCAAAAATTAACACAAAGTTTTATTTTCATTTTTAAATAAATGTTCTATAAGTGCACAATGCCCGTTCAAATCCGTGGCTTTTTGTTGTTTTGTTCTTTTAATAATACAGACTGAATAATGCATCTGTAGTGCATTTTATACATATATTAACAATACAGTTTCTTTGTAGACCAAAGAATGGGTATCAATCAACAAAATATAGTTTTTTTTTCAGTATTCATAACTTTACAGACAGTTCTGAAGGAGACAGACGCAATGAATGCTTTTAGCTTGTGTTTGCATATTTACTGTATATGGTCACCACCATGCAGGTCACATACTTTTTGTAATTAGTGAAATGTCAATACCTGTTGTAATTATAGGTTAACTTTGCGAACGTGTAACCCGTGTTGAGTAAATGCCTCATAAAATATTGAGTGATTGTTTATGTCGTCTTTAAATTCCATGGTTGTGATTTTGTGGTCTTATGCCCCGTGTTTGTCGCTTAAACTGTTAACCGAACAAAAATAAAAAAAAAGTAGGTTAAGTACATTTTGCTACGAACATTTTGTCTTTTTTGAAGAGCTAGCATTTATAGTAGCTGTCTGACAAGATACTGATTAGCATAGTGTGTTTAATAAAACATTTAAGCGATAGTTTGCGGGTATAGCCTACCTGAAGGCCCCGGCCTGCAATGTGTTACAAACCTAAACTTGCATATTTATTTTAGGAAAGGGGGACGAAAAAATTACACACACACAAAATATTTTGGGATGTTTTACTCTTTTAGCGATACGATAAAAAAAAGAGCAAACAATGGCAGTCGATAGGCTATAGACTAGAATATTATTAGGCTATATTAGCCTACTATCGTAGGCCTAACAAACCTACCTGAATAATGTGCCTGAACATCAAATTCTTCCATTTCTTTGGGTTACTTTATTCTATTTTGTTCTGAAATATTTTGCTGTAGTTTATTACACATTTATTACAAGCGTCTCCTGGTTGTAGAGGCCATACAAAGCAATGCATAACACTGTCCGCTCTTGTTTTTCAGCCAACAATAGAGCCATTAGTTGCAATAGTACAGAGCAACAACTTAGCTTTCAACACTTGAAGTCCAGTAATTTGTTCATGTTTTTAAAAGAGACATTGTGCTAAATGTGCCCAACCGTAATGCAATAACCTCTGTGCTTTATACAATAGACTGGTGGAACTCAATATCTCCTCGCAAGACATTATGGCTCAAATGTTAAACGGGGTGACCACTCAAAAACAAAAGCAAAAAAGGAGAGGTCAAATTTAGAAGCATAATATATATTTTAATATAACGATACGATAATTTAGCTTGGTGTAGCCTAAACTTGCTGAGATGCAAAATCCTTTTATTTTTAATGTTTTATTTTAAGTGTATCTTCCGCCCTCTCTCTTATTTATACCTGAATGTTGGTGCATATATATTTATACAGATGCAAAATAATTATGAGGATTTAAATGTAATATTTATACGAAAGGTTTCAGCTGAAATTCCCTTTTAATGTTTTCAATTTAAAATATTTTATGTTCACACTTTTATTCAGCATTTGTCTGAAGACATACACCTTGTAATAATTACAAAGAAGCAGAGCTTGCATGTGGTGGATGTTAAATGATGGTAGCATCACGAACAAAGCATTTTTAGTTGGAAGCAGTGACAGCAAAATTATGATCTTTGGGCAGTGATTGTTTGCTCTGATTTAATTGGTTTGCATCTGCTTTCAACCCACAAAGATTAACAACCACTCTACCTGAAGCACAAACGAGGCCTAGAATCGCACCAATAATTGAAATCTGCAAGGGAATAATTTTCGGCTCGACGCTATGGACCCATATTTAAGACGAATCGCTAGTATTGAACTGTACAGACGTTTATGCAGACTTAATGAAGCGATGCACTTGAAATAATAGTTATTTTTCCTTTGTGTCTTTTGACAAGATCTTGTAAGCAGGGTTTAGTCACAGGCTACACAAAAGGCGTGGTTTCTGCTTATTACCCCGAGGCACAGAGAGACTGTGGGGGGAACTGGGGACAGCACGCAAGCACATCAGCATCCTAATACCGCAGTATCTTGCCAAAAAGTAACGTATTAAACAAAATAGTAAATATAAAACAACACGTAGCTACAATATTTTCCCCAAATGCACGTGGTTTCGCATATAAATTATAAATAATTATGTCACTGACCGAATATAAAGCATTTTGATATAAACACTGAAATAATTATTTGAGCGCTATGACTAAAACGCTAATGCAGAAATGCTACGATGTCACTGACCGAATATAAAGCATTTTGATATGCTCATAAAATGACACTGAAATAATTATTTGAGCGCTATGACTAAAACGCTAATGCAGAAATGCTACCTGTACGATCAACTAGGCTATTCCAATACACTGTCAAATATGTTATGAATATTGCGACAGCCTGTGCTTAAATATTCCGTTCTGCTATTTGCACATGAAATGACTATTTTTAAAAATCCTTCCTTGGCGCCTTTGATAGTTTAATTTTGCTGCTTGGTATTAGTTCACTATACAACCCTATGAAGAGGCCAGATTAGAATATGTCATATAACTCAGCTTTAATGCTTATTCCCTTTCGCCAATTCACAGATAATGGTGTGGTAAAACGAAGCTTTAACGAAGCTGATCCAACTCTGAAGCATTCAAATACTTGTAAAATGCAAAGGACGTTTCCTCTCTTCAAGTAATATGAACCAAACGAGCCAGGCAGAGTGAGGGCGCTAGAATGACGCAGAACTGTAGTGACATTAACTTCATATCTTTGCAAAATACATGGCCTCTCGTAAACTTAGTTTTCCCTGTGGCAAGACGAACTGTAATATCATTTACAAGCTGTGAAAAAACCCCACAAGAGATAATACAGAAATTTGCCCCAACTAAACAGCCTTCTAATATTTTAACAATTATATGCACAAAACACAAATAAGCTGTGGAATGCTTAACCATTATTATTATTAATAATATTATTATTAAATCGATAAATCAGTAACATTAAAACCAATCCATTTTAACAAAATATTAATCATAATAAAATCATAATGTGCATAAATAAATAAATAAAAATCTCACTATTGTCAGAACAGTGAGTACAAATGTAGGTTATCGTGTCATACAGCTCCATGATTTCTTTTTCACACACAAAAAGGACACTTTTCCTTTAGCAATATAAAACTAGATTTACTTCGCTATTAGACCAAGTAGGTTAACCTTCTTTGTCTTTGAGTCAACATGCTATTTTGGAAGAGGGTTTGTGGTATATCCCGGTCTATATTGTAGTAAAATATTTGCTTTGTGAAAGAAAACATTCGACAGATCGTGAATAATCGTTTTAATGAGTGTGTGTAAAGCTCCTGACTTAGTGAAGTGAGCTGTCGAGTTAAACAAACAACTTGTATCATGATGAAATTATATTGTTTAAAGCAAATGTATTTCTTCGAATTCATGGTCTCTCTGGAATTTTATATACGGAATTCTAGTTATTCCAGATACTTTAAAATGATCCTAGTGTTTTGACAAGCAGATAATAAAGAAGCTTTTCATATCAAGCAGAGACAATATCGCAAATTAAAATAGCCTACATATTTTTATACTTCTTTTGACAAAATTCTCTATCGAATTATTATTAGTTAAAATACAACATTCAAGCTAATTATCCAATTTTATCTGTTATAATATTATCAGACTGGGGCTTTTTGTGTCTTGTGGTGAAAAAAATGCTACACTCTTGCAAATACGCTAAGTAGGCTAAGGTGTGACTATGAGAAGGGTTACAATCAGAAGAGCAGTATCACTCATTTAAATCCTTGTATGTTTTTGCTCTAAATTGTAGTCTTGCTTTACTACGGTTTTTAACCACAATGGAGGGTCAAGTCTCCACTGAGAGACTATTTGTGTTCCGGGTCGTTTGGACGTTAACCCCAATGGAATAAGCAGCCAAAAATAAGTAAGGTGCATCATATTTAGTCTAAGTAAAAATATAAAAGTCAAGTTCTGAAATGATTCATTTTAATTATTTAATGTTTAAATAAAGTTTTATTTCTAAAGTTACGCTCTGTGTCCCTTGGCCTATGCGTTCACCCCAGTTCTCTGTTATTTCTACCTCTTTCTCCCCACTCTTGTCTCTCTGTCTATCACTAGCGTGCTAGTGAACATGAAAGCATTTCTCAATAAAAGATTATAAATTAATAATTTTGTCAATATTTTCTCGCTCAATATTCTATTGCTGTCTCAGCTGATCAGAAATATTGTGAATTCACAATGTCAAAATATTACTGTAAAACGGGGGAAATAAAAGCTTTCAATTGGAGTATGCGCGGTCATTTCACCGCATTGTCTGTAACTATAGCGGTGTAGACAGCTTTTGGTGACTAATCATTTCTTGTCTGTTAAGATACAATATTTATGTATTTATTTTTTTCATTTGTTTATTTTTATTTTCTCACAGATTTTCTGGTATTGCAAAAATTTTAAAACGCCAAAGGCATATAGCTACTGTTAAATGTTTCGTATATTATGCAGTTTTGACGTTGCTGCTGTTTTGCGCCTACATTTTCCCTCGGGGGATATGTCTCTGTCTGTCTGTCTGTCTGTCTATCTCAACCGAATTATTTTACTATTAATTTTAATAGTCTGAGCTTTAATATAGTTTGTTCTTTCTTATAACAGACCTCAAAGCCATTTTTGGAGAGTTGTGTGACACATAAAAGACATGCGCTAAAGCAATATGTTTAGTCTGGTGTATTTAGTCTCAAGAAGGAAACACCACCTGGGATACAT